TCTCTCTCTCTCTCTCTCTCTCTCTCGGTCTTCTTCTTTGTCGTGGTCTTCTCTGCAGGTGCGCGGCGGCTTCTCCAACCTTCAGGTCCGCTATGGCGGACTTCTTCTCGTGGCGGCCACCTCAGCTATGGCGCATCACTCCCTGCGCACGACGGCGCGCATGGAATAGCGGGTACCAGCTCCGATACCAATGCAATCAGACTCGCTTTCATTCACACTTGACATGCACACAAACAGTAGCGCAGCAACTGGCGACATGCGCCCACTCAAAACTCAGAGATATGGCAACCCAGATACAAGTTCACTTTCAACAGCTATGGCGACCCAGCGCCCAAACAACTCTCTGTTCACATACACCGGATCACCCTGGATATCCCACACGCGACTCTCTGAACACTCACACACACACACACTGAACCTTCGCTACAGCTGTGGCGACTATGGCCGCAACTACCCTATCACTATGCTACGCTCCTTCTCTCTCGCTCACTCCGACTCCGGGCTCACTGCAGACCTCCTTGGACAAGTCGTTGTGGCAGCGCTTCCGCATGGCTCAGGCAGGAATGAATGAATGGCTGGGCGTTGCCTCTTGATTTATACTTTTGTAGCTCGTTGGTCTGGCCCTTCCCCATGCCTGAAGTCCACATAATCCCATGCGGTACTTGCTTGACTAGACCAGACTACCTAGGACTGGGACTGCTGACTCAGCACGGGCAGACTCCACCACTTGCCTCACCACTTGCCCACTTGCCTCAGTCTAAATGTGGGCAACTTCGAAAGGCCACTACTGGGACCTTCCGGAAGGCCATAGACTTGGCCTTTCGTGACTGTAGCAGCTACGACTTGACCCTTCTGGACTGTAGCAGCTACGACCTTGACCTTTCGGGAAAACTACAGCTACGACTTCTAGACCTGACTAAGACTCCTACTTGACAGGTCTATAGATCGAACCCCTGCTACCTATAGACCCTACGACGACCTACCAACTGTTACAAATACACAGGTCACGGGTTCAACTCTAGGGGCCGACACAGGTACTGTACACAAGTAAGGTGGAGATTAGGGATCGAACCCTGGGATCTGCATCGGCTCCTGCGAACTGGTGAATACCGTTTCACACGTGTCAGATCAGGCAGCGGGGAGTGTTACACTTATGGTGAATATGGACATTTTGCTTGTGACTGTCCGAATAAGAATAATGGGAGGCAGTGGCAAGGCCAAGGGCGGGACAACTATGGCCCGAGAGGTTAAGGGCAGGGAGCTAACTACCAGCCGAGAGTAAATGTTGGAGATGAGAGAATGGATAAGCTACTGCTGTTTGTCGACAGCCAAAGGTAGGAGGCTGAAGAGAGGAGGAAAGGTGAACAGGGGCTTGAAGAGGAGAGCCAGAGAGTGGAGGACGCAAAGCAAAGGGAGGAAGCAAAAAGACGGCGTATGCAACCTATCATTGAAGCAACGGCAGCACAAGCGTTCAACAAGCAATTGACTGCTCTGGAAGAAAAAATCAGAGACCATGTGAACGCAACGCTGACAGCTTCTGAGGAGAGGAATGCGAGATTACATGATAGTTTGCGGCGGTTTCTAGAGCGTGCCGAGCCCAACAAACCAGGGAGGGTGGGAGCTGGGCTGTACCCAAATCCGAAGAGGAGACTCAACTTAGATGGCTATGGGCGAGGGTTAGGTGACACAGATATGTGTGTGAGGCTCCACCAGTCACAAAAAGACGCACAATGGTCTCGAGGAAAGGGAAAGAAGTTGCGGTTGAGGACACAAGAAAGGAGGGAGCTGTAGCGTCCTGCTCCAAGGAACGGGTGATGGATTTTGTCCTAGATCAGAGGGAGAGTTTGAAAGGCCAAGAGTGTTCCGGAGTTAAAACAGTTGTGCAAGTTGAAGAAGGTGAAGTACGTTATGAAGAACCATGCGGTTAAAGAGCTGGTTGCAGTGGAGACGAGACTGGCATATGACGGGTGGCTCACGGGTGCTGATAGTAATGGGAGTAAGGAGGACAGGTTGTCAGGAATTGACACAGCACTGCGTTATGAACATGATTGTCTGTTGAAGTTTTATCAACACTCACTCACGGAAACTCCCGTACACGCCCATACATGCACAGAAGGAAGGGGAGAGGTAGTGGAGTATCACACCGCCCAACAGAAGGAAACTTAGCGGAAGACTCAGAGGAGCGAAGTGACAGAACACACAAACTGTGAATTCTCTCCACACAGATCCCAACAATCATTCATAGAAGACAACCGAGTGATCACAACGAGAAATCAATAAAGAGATGACAACCCAAACACAATGTTATAACTGTTTATTAAACTCAGAGCATTGTTTTCCCTGAATATCCTCAGAACCCTGTTGCGCTACCCTCAGAGGGGTAGCGCCTCAACCCCACACACACTGAGCAGCTAAAAATAGCACCGAAACCCCAGGTAACACCCAACGCCACCCCGACATCCAACTCAGTGGCCTGCGCCAAAGTGAAACAGGCTCCCAGAGCCAATCGCCACCCAGATGATGAAGAAGAAGCTCAGCGTCAATTGTCCCTGATGAAGATGTAGTCCACACGATGATATCTCTGAGAAGATGCAGCTATGGCTGCATCGCCACTGGGACCCTACTTTTGAGGAGGGTCAACAGTGCAGCACGTACTCCAACGCATCAGACCTCTGATAGCACAGACCGCTTTGACTCCCAGAGAGTCAGAGCGGACAGCGTTGACCCCAGTCCGGTCAGCGCTCCAAAGGTCTGGCTATGTTTGTCGTCTCCACCACTGGAATCAGCAACCATGACCTGATACCGTGTGTGCAGCAACTTCCACCACGAAGTGTCAACTGCCAAAACCCCAGGACCGATGTCCCCATCCTATCTATACTCTACCACTAGCCTAGACCGACCTAGACCAGACTGACTGACCAACCGGTACCGTTTCTGTTTCGGCCTCTAGGGCCTATCCCTACCCGGCTATAGGCTATAGGACCGTCTATCAGCGTAGGCCCATAGGGCCTGTCTGTCCTAGGGGTAGCCCGGGTCCGCTATTCGCAATTAGGGTAGCTGTAGGAAAATCGAGTTAGTACTGGGCCCATATTTGTATATTTAAACATATGTCCCTCGCGAATTTCCCATATAGACAGATCTCTCGGTTAGTCCTCGACCAAACAAAATTACGAATTTGTCCCTAACTATGGTACAGCCTCGTCAGAGTGAGGCTACAGACACCCTGGAACCAGCAAGTCATTGTAGACCTACCTTCCCCCGGAGCGAGGACCTCCGAGCTAGGGGTGTAGGTGTGCATAGCGTCGAAGGGGTTCTCCCCTCTGCACAACCTCGAACTTGAGGATAACAGACTTTGCTGTTTTCTGAAGCTCCTTGCGAGTAAACCAGCGATCCTCAGAATGGGGCTGGTAGAGAAACTTCACAAGGTACTTCGTATCCGGGCCTGTACCATACTCATCCTCAACTTTTTCCACCTCATATCCCTTCCCAGGGATCGGGGGACCAAATTGGGGAGGCTTGTCTGGAAATGCATCAGCTGGGACAAATGGCAACAGCTTGGATGCATGAAAGACAGGGTAGGTTTGTAGATGCAGTGGGACATCCACATGATAAGATGGTCCGAAACGGTCAGCTCCCACTGTGTCTAAAACCTGCTATGGACCCATGTAACATGTTAACAGCTTGGGTGAAATGTCCTCCTCCCGCAATAACTCAGAACTGAGTACCTAGACCCAGTCACCAACACGGATGGGCGATGGTTGACGATGCTTGTTAGCCTACTGGATCATAGCCTTTTGGGCTTTGTGCAGGTTAACTTTGGCTCGTTTGATATCCCTCTGGTACTGTCTTGTGAACTCTGCAGCCCCAGGAGTCAGTCTAGGGGTAGCCTTATCGATGATGTAATCAAGAGGCTGCCGTGGCTCACGACCCCAGTGCAATCGATAAGGGGTGAACCCTGTGGAGGAGTGTACAGACGTGTTGTACACTAGCTGTGCCCGTCCTAGATGGAGATCCCAATCCTGTTGATCAGGGCTGATCACAGGATGCAGCAACTTGAAAAGAATCTGGTTGATCACTTCAGCGTGCCCACTAGCTTCAGGATGACGACCAGATGTCATATCCAGTCTGGAATGAAGGTAGTCCTTGCAATAGGACTGCCATTCACTACTCCAGAACCGGAGATCTTTATCACTGACAATAGAGGTGTGTGGTCCATGGTGAGTAACCCACCTGTCAGCAAAGGCCGCCTGCACGGTCGGGACTCTGGCTTCCTCTGGCAAAGGGATAAGCTTTGCGTAGTTAGAGAACTTGTCCACACACACCATGACCTGACTCATACCACGAGGAGTAGTCCTCCCCAGGTCATTGAAGTCGATGGACACCGACTGTGCTGGTGCCTCAAGTATGGGAAGTGGCTGTAGCAGGCCAAGGTGAGGTCGACGAACGACCCTGCTCCACTGGCACAACTCATAGGTTTCAACGTAGTGCAGCAGGTCTTTCCTTATCTCTGGCCAGAAGAACCGCTGCGACAAGGCTGCCAATGACTTTAAGGCCCCAAAGTGGCCGCGAGCGTCATGGCACTCACACATCATGAGTGTTCTCAGCTGGCGGTCCTGAGGGATACACAAACGCTCCTCTCCTCTGCTGCAAGTGTACAGCAAACCTGAGACCAGAATGTATACTGGTTTAGAGGCAGGATCAGTCTGCAGATTCCTTACGATCAAGCCAAAAGTCGGGTCCTGTGAGAATAGCTGGGTGATGGTCTGACAGGTGCTCTCCCTAAAAGTATGAGTAGAGGAGATCATGCAAAGAGCGTCAGGCCTATGAGAAAGGGCGTCTGCTACACGATTGTAGCAACCCTTCTTGTGTTTCAGTTCAAAGTCGAAGAGATCAATGAACTGAATGTAGCGCGCAAGCTTGTCATTCAGTTCCCCTTGGGGCTTCATCCACTATAAGGTGGAATGATCTGAATAGATATGGAAGTGTCGGCCCATGAGGAAATGCTTCCAATGCTTTAGCGTTGACACTAGAGCATATAGCTCTTTCTCGTACGTGAAATCCTGCAGCTTTTTTACTTTGATCTTCTTACTCATACAGGGCAAGGTAGGGTCAGGTAGCTTCAGAACAGGTGCATGCATCAAGGTCTCCTTGAGGCGTGTAAAAGCCTGTTGACAGTCGAATGTCCAAAGAAAGTGGGTGTCTTTCTTTGTAAGGTCAGTCAGGGGTGCAACAATAGCATAAATGTTCTTAACGAACTTTCTGTAATATGATGCAAGACCCAAAAACGACCGGACATCACGTACTGTGGTAGGTTGTGGCCAGTCCTGAATCGCAACAACCTCTGTTGCTTCACGGGCCAACCCTTCCCCAGAGATTACATGTCCTAAATAAGTCAAAGAAGTCACTCCAAAGGAGGACTTTCCCTGTTCATCTTATACTGGGCCTCATGTAGTGCCTGGAGAACCAGAGCCAGATGTTGTGCATGCTCCTCTACAGATCGACTGAATACCAGGATATTGTCCAGGTATACAACTACAAACCTGTCCAGGTAAGGCCTGAGTATGCGATGCATCTCTGTCTGGAATGTGCAAGGGGCATTGCAAAGACCGAAAGGCATGACCAGGTACTCATAGGTGTCGTATCTGGTCTTGAAAGCAGTCTTGTGGACATCGCCTTCAGCCATCTCAATCTGGTGGTAGCCAGATTTGAGATCGATCTTGCTAAAGATTGTGCACCCCTGCACCATGTCCAGCAGATCATGGATCCTAGGAAGGGGCTCTGTAGACTTCCTAGTGATTTTGTTAAGACCCCTGTAGTCTACACACATCCTGAATTCTCCATTCCCCTTTGGGACAAAGAGAAATGGAGCCCCAAATTCAGATGTGCTGGGTCTGATCCAGCCCTTGCTGGTCAGGGTCTCAAGCTATCTCCTGAGCTCATCGAGTTCAGTGGGTGACATCCTGTAGATACGGCCCTTGGGAGGGACCGCACCTGGCAGGAGCTCAATCCTATGCTGGGTCTGCCTACGGACAAGTCCAGTAGGCTCCTGCATCAGGTCTGGATACCGGTCCAAAACCTGCTGAATCGGTGAGAGACAAGGAGCAACATCCACACCAGTCCGTTTCACATATGCAACAAACAGACGTGTGTGGGCAGTCTGGCAGGAGAGCTGAAAGAACTCGTGTGCCCTCATACAATAGCAAGTGCTGACGGGGTGGTACTCAACAGCCAGGACACAAGGCTGATAGTCCCCTCTACAGTCAGGGAGCTCTACCCTGGGGATCTGCCAGTCGATACTAGGGTTAGTGGCCTCAAGCCACTGCATGGAGAACACAAGATCAAAAGGCACGTTAGGAAATACATAGAAGTTCAGGCGCTGCCTGACCTTCTCCTGCTTGTCAAATACAACCGGTAGGTTTTTGACAGCAGAGGTAATTCGGACTGTGGAAGACTCCCCGATACGGACTTCCAATGGCTGCTGCAACTTCACCAATCTCCCATCCAGGTGCAGCTTGCTGACTGCCTTGTGAGAGACGAAGTTCCGCATGGCCCCACAGTCTAATAAGCCTTTTGATCCTTGCTCCCAGGATGGAGGGTCGCAGCAAGATGAGGTCTGATTTATGCTTTTTCTTCTCCTGCAAAGACAGGAAAAGATCAGCAAAAGTCTGACTGTCATCTTCCTGCCACGTCTCATCCAGGTCAGGGTCCACGTAAGTAAAGGACCCTAACTCAACAACTCCAACAGAGTCATTCAGGGTAGATGCTGATTCAGACTCGTCAGAATCTGAATCAGCACAAGTGGGGGGAACTGCCAACTCCACTTCCCTCTGCTGGTCCAGTTTTTTGAACTAGAACCAGGTTTGCGAGGCATATAGGGACAATCTTTCAGGAAGTGGTCCCCCTCGCAACGAAAACAAACCTCACGTTCCTTCCTTTTTCTGCCATTGCCCTTCCTGGATCCTGAGCGCTCTCCAGGGAAGGGTGGAAGGATACATGACGTTAACTGGCCAATGGACGTCTCGTGGCGAATTAGCTCTCTGGGTCTGAGGGGAAGTGGCACGTCCCTTCCCTTTCCCCTTCCAGCTGGCTGAACCCTTGCTGCTGCTGTTGTTCCCAGTCTTTCCCTTGAAAATTGCAGCAAGGTTCTCAGCCAGGGCAAGAACGGCTGGCTCAACTGTTGATGCTGATGGAGTCTCAGATGGAGCACGGCCACGCTGAGATGCATCAGAATCAGAACCGGTGTCAGCCCTCAACAAACCACCCTTCTTCCTGCGCTGTCCCCTGGAAGAGGGTCTCCTCCTTCCTTCAGAAGGTTCCTGGACCTTGAGCCGGGACTCCAGGTCCAGGGCCGCTTTGCCAAAGGACCCCCAGTCCTTGTGGCCCTGAGAGTACAAGGCAATGGAGTAGTCTGGGGGCGCTGCGCGGAGGAAGTGAGTGAGCTGGTCAGACTCACTCATCTCCAGACCGGGAGTAGCTTTCAAACTCTCAAACATGCTGTAGAGCTTGGACAGGGAACCCTCAAATCTGCGTGAGCCCAACAACATTATCTTATCTGCTGCTTTTCGGGTTTGTTCCCTGTTTGCAAACCGGTCTCGCAGGGCCTGCAGCAACCCCTCCACCTTCAGCTGTTGTGCCCATTTGTCCATGGGCAAATTATGTTTCGCTGCAGAGGATGTACACCATTTTAGTGCAGTCCTCTCCAGGTGACCCGGAATAGTCCCTACCTTTGTCACCTGTGGACATACAAACCTGCCCAGGTATGCCTGCATGGCGGTAACCCAATCTGAGACATCCACCTTGGGGGCTTCCCCAGAATACATGGGAGGTGGTGTCAGCTTGGGCTGCCGCTGATCAGATGTACCAGAGGCCACAAGGGTAGTGGACACATGGGAACCAGCAGGTGAAGATGGCCGACTGTGAGATGGTGTAGAGGGCGCTGGAGAAGGTTGAGGAGGTTTGGGAGAAGGGACAGGTAGCTGTAGATGCTGCAAAATGTTGTTCACACTCATCGTCAGGGACTCAAGGCTTGCTGCCAGCTTGTCAACCTTGTGGTCTATGGCAGAACCTTGGGTCTCGAGGGCGAGTATCCTCTGGTCCCAGTTAGAAAAGTAGGACCTGTTGATGGTGTCTGTTAGGAGCACCAATTCAGCAGTATCCTTACTGTACTGACTAGAGGTACCACTTGTGACAACCTTCTCCACATCGTTGCGTAGTTGTCTTCTCCTCTCTTCATTTCTACTAGCCTCCTGAGCTTCCTCCATCTCCTTCTTCAACCGCTGGATTTGGGCCTCTACCTTGAGGCGAGCTTGCTCGGTCTCAAGCGGAGCCTGCTCTAGAGGAGAGAGAGGAAACTGAGGAGAGTTAGCAGAAGTTTCTCCTCCATCAATCTTTGTCTCAACGTCAGACATAATAAACCACTTAAGCAGTCAAATAAATATAGACAGACAAATACAGAGAGGCGGTTAATGGAAGACCCAAAATTCGGTGAATTTTGACGAATTTTTCACCGAAACTGTCATATTTCCCTAAATTTTTACTCTTTTAACCGCTAGTGACGTGGTGAATTAGGCAGAAGAGCGCTCAGCCTCTGTAGGCCGCTGAGGGCTGTTCTGGGTCAGTTTAGGGCAATCCCAGATAAAATCAAACTTGCGATTTATCATTCACAGCCAGAACCAGTTTAGGGCAACCTCAGAATCACTGTCAATCAATAGACAGGATGAAACCTTGGACTGTAAGTAGACAGGAGGGAATAGCGCAGAGAGTCAGTAGCAATCAACAGAACCCAGTAGTCAATCAAGATGCAGCGGATGGCTGATCAAGCTATTTTTAGACTCCTACTACTGACACTGGCACTGTAGGACGTTGTATGCCCCACTATGGGTGAGGCGAAGTACATATATCACTGTACCTGACTCAAAACATCAAATCCAGCAGAGCGTTTTCAAACACTGACACAATATTGAATTGCGATTTCAGGGTGACCGACAGACTGAAATTCTGACGGACAGAACCTAAGATATGACAAACCCTAGCTGCCCCAAGCACTAGCTATGGCAACGCAGTACTCAGAATTCCATTATCACAGACATACAGACCCTGAACTACTCAATTCACAGTGTATACTGAATCGCAATACTGTAATACAGTCAAAGATGCAATTTGAGACAGAAAGAAGGTCAAACAGAGTCAGTAGAAGTCAAAGTAGATAGGTAGGGGAATTAGCTATGGTTGTCAGGCAGTGTGATTTTCAACTTTTACTGTCTACAGACATACAATTTCAATATCCCCAGTCTAATTACAACTATGAGACTCGCTACGGAACACACTTACTCTAGGTCAAAACACTAGAAGAAGAAGTTGAACTGGCTATGGCTGCCATCTCGCCAGTTTCTTCAACTCACTGTTCCTGGTGCTCCCACGTTCCAAATCTCCTGAAACTTGGTGATACTGTAGTTCTTGGTATGACGATTAACCTCCACTAATCAGATTCACTGTATCTTGCCCATAATCTGAAACTCGACATACCCCCAGGTATCTCGCCACCAGCAGAGTCAACGCCTGGGCTAAAAATAGCCCCTCAGTGCCTCCCAGGCCACTGAGCACTAAATCGCCACCAATCTCTGTGTCATACCCACTCGCCACACACTCTTCACCGACACCCTACTGAGCGCAATCCTGAAGATGCGATTCCAACATGAAACCTGACGTCAGAAGCTCTCAGGTGGTGATGGCTGCCGCAGTCCATCATCTCGCCACCGTCAAGGTCCGATCTGCTTCGATACCAACTGTTATGAACATGATTGTATGTTGAAGTTTCATCAACATTCACTCACGGAAACTCCCGTACAGGCCCATACATGCACAGAAGGAAGGGGAGAGGTAGTGGAGTATCACACCGCCCAACAGAAGGAAACTCAGAGGAAGACTCTGAGGAGCGAAGTGACAGAACACACAAACTGTGAATTCTCTTCACACAGATCCCGATAATCATTCATAGAAGACAACCGAGTGATCACAGCCAGAAATCAATGAAGAGATGACATCCCAAACACACTATTATAACTGTTTATTAAACTCAGAGCATCGTTTTCCCTGAATATCCTCAGAACCCTGTTGCACTACCCTCATAGGGGTAGCGCCTCAACCCCACACACACTGAGCAGCTAAAAATAGCACTGAAACCCTAGGTAACACCCAGCGCCACCCTGACATCCAACTCAGTGGCCTGCGCCAAAGTGAAACAGGATCCCAGAGCCAATCGCCACCCAGATGATGAAAAAGAAGCTCAGCGTCAACAGTCCCTGATGAAGATGTAGTCCAGACGATGATATCTCTGAGAAGATGCAGCTATGGCTGCATCGCCACTGGGACCCTACTTTTGAGGAGGGTCAACAGTGCACCACGTACTCCAACGCATCAGACCTCTGATAGCCCAGACCTCTTTGACTCCCAGAGAGTCAGAGCGGACAGCGTTGACCCAGTCTGGTCAGCGCTCCGAAGGTCTGGCTATGTCTGCTGTCTCCACCATCGGAATCAGCAACCACGACCTGATACCGTGTGCGCAACAACTTCCACCACGAAGTGTCAACTGCCAAAAGCCCAGGACCGATGTCCCCATCCTATCTATACTCTACCACTAGCCTAGACCGACCTAGACCGGACTGACTGACCGACCGGTACCGTTTCTGTTTCGGCCTCTAGGGCCTATCCCTACCCGGCTATAGGCTATAGGACCGTCTATCAGCGTAGGCCCATATGGCCTGTCTGTCCTAGGGGTAGCCTGGGTCCGCTATTCGCAGTTAGGGTAGCTGTAGGAAAATCGAGTTAGTACTGGGCCCATATTTGTATATTTAAACATATGTCCCTCGCAAATTTTCCATACAGGCAGATCTCTCGGTTAGTCCTCAGCCAAACAAAATTACGAATTTGTCCCTAACTATGGTACAGCCTCGTCAGAGTGAGACTACAGGCACCCTGGAACCAACAAGTCATTGCAGACCTACCCTAACCGGGAGCGAGGACCTCCGAGCTAGGGGTGTAGGCGTGCAGAGCGTCGAAGGGGTTCTCCCCTCTGCGCAGCCTCATATTTGAGGATAACAAACTTTGTTGTTTTCATAAGCTCCTTGTGAGTAAACCAGCGATCCTCAGTATGGGGCTGGTAGAGAAACTTCACAAGGTACTCCGTATCCGGGCCTGTACCATACTCATCCTCAACTTTTTTCACCTCATATCCCTTCCCAGGGATCGGGGGACCAAATTGAGGAGGCCTGTCTGGAAATGTATCAGCTCGGACAAATGGCAACAGCTTGGATGCATGAAAGATAGGGTAGGTTTGTAGGTGCAGTGGGACATCCCCATGATAAGATGGCCCGAAAGGGTCAGCTCCCACTGTGTCTAAAACCTGCCATGGACCCATGTAACGCGGCAACAGCTTGGGTGAAATGTCCTCCTCCCGCGATAACTCAGAACTAAGTACCCAGACCCAGTCACCAGCGCGGATGGGGGATCGTCGACGATGCTTGTTAGCCTGCTGGATCATAGCCTTTTGGGCTTTGAGTAGGTTAACTCTTGCTCGTTCGATATCCCTCTGGTACTGTCTGGTGAACTCTGCAATCCCAGGAGTCAGTCTTGGGGTAGCCTTATCGATGATGTCATCGAGAGGCTGCCATGGCTCACGACCCTAGTGCAATTGATAAGGGGTGAACCCTGTGGAGGAGTGTACAGACGTGTTGTACACTAGCTGTGCCCGTCCTAGATGGAGATCCCAATCCTGTTGATCAGGGCTGNTGAACCCTGTGGAGGAGTGTACAGACGTGTTGTACACTAGCTGTGCCCGTCCTAGATGGAGATCCCAATCCTGTTGATCAGGGCTGATCACAGGACGCAGCAACTGGAAAAGAATCTGGTTCATCACTACAACCTGCCCACTGGCTTCAGGATGACGACCAGATGTCATATCCAATATGGAATTAAGGTAGTCCTTGCAATAGGACTGCCATTCATTGCTGCAGAACCGCGGATCTCTATCACTGACAATAGAGGTGGGTGGTCCATGGTGAGTAACCCACTTGTCAGCAAAGGCCGCTTGCACGGCCGAGACTCTAGCTTCCTCTGGCAGAGGGATAAGCTCTGCCTACTTAGAGAACCTGTCCACAAACACCATGACCTGGCGCATACCACGAGGAGTAGTCCTCCCCAGGTCAGTGAACTGGATGGACACCGACTGTAGGCGCCGGGAGGAAATGACAACCTTCACGAACTGCCGAACAGTCGGCGGTCAGTGTTGTTGGGTGGCAAAAACACTCTTACGGAACCTTTCGGTCGTGTTCGGACCTTGTTGGCGTGGCACCGGATGGTCACCAAGCAGTATTGGATGTCCAATTTATGGACAAATCGTATGATGCGTCACGAGCAAGCAGTGGTTGATTGCTGCCCCCCTTTTCCGGTGTAGATCTTCAAGAGCAGAGTTTCGCACTCCACCGTGAGATCCATATCGGAGAGGGAGACCTGCTAGCCTGCCGCTGTTCACTGTAGTCGTCATTAGGGAGTCCATGACGCGAGGACCCAAAAATGAGCAATCCTAGGGGATTTTGCGGCAGCGTGAGAAATTTATTGGCGCAGCACTAGATTCTCACCAATCAGTTCTGAATGTCGGTTGTATCGACAAATCGTATGATGCCTTACGAGCAAGCAGCGGATGATTGTTGACCCCCTTCCCGGTGTGAATCGTTGAGAGCAGAGTTTTGCACTCCACCGGAGTTCCATATCGGAGAGAGGGACCTGCTCTAAACCCGCGGTTAACTATAGTCATCATGAGGTTGTCTCCTCTTCCCTTAAACACAAGGTCTGACAACACGTCCGGATCTAGTGACATACGGGGGCTCCCGCGGACGAGGTCGTGAATGGAAGCCATACATAGCATTCAGAGAAGACCCATACACGTGGATCTGCGGTTCCTCGACTGTCGTTTTCTCTGAAAATACGGACATGTATTTCATCCTAACAAACTGTCCCGGTCGTGCTAAGGATTTCCCTATACAGTCTCGTATGTCGGACACTTTCTCTTCCACCTCATGCCACAATGAATAATCTTCGACCTGACCTGCTATTATCAAATCCGACCACCCATCTGCACCGTAGTACCGCAACGGCGAGAACTTGTACGTCGGCCTTCCCCCTACTCCCGCGAGTACCACCTCGTCCCGTGATACACGCACAACTGCATCGACAAGTTTCCTACTTTTGTTTGAAGTAGCGACACATAGCACTCTGACGAAATCGCATCTGGCAACAGTCAACCGCACACCACAGTATGACACAGCTTGTGGAGAATCCCGGGGCAACGAAGTGGGTACTGCTCCAAAAATGAACAATGACGAGCACAGTCCATCAACTCTTGTTTCCGCGTAGATCCCTAAGTTTGTGGCGAAGACTTGATGTAGTCGCAGTCGAGGCGACTACCACAATGGCTAATGCAGCCAAATGTTTTGCGCAAATGGTTCAGGAACTTGTGTTCGAGGACACCATCAGACACTGTAATGAGGATCCCGAACTCTAACATATTGGCAAACTTGTAATGGCTTGCCCAAGGGCAGCCACTCTCCATCGCGTTCCAAGTATCATCGCTCCAATCATCAAGATGCCGTTTCATGTACGGGACGACGGTCATCCACGGGTCGTCTTCGAAGTCGTCTTTGTTTGCTTCGTCGATCCACGTTTGACCGTCATGATGCCGCACCGATTTCGCACAAGGACGAAATGGTTTTGCTATGCGCATGTGTGTCTCGGGACTCATGTCGATGCTTGTCCACGTGCCCAACAACATCATGCACCCTACACATCACACACACGTAAACGACACGCACGGGCATGTCGACATTCGTAAATGAAGTCGGCAGATGATAATTCCCCTAGTGAGGCCAGCACGCAGTCATCACGTACCGCACTGTGTATCGGCGAGGCCAGCATTGAAGGTCCATAATCGCAAATTGGAAAGTAAACAGAGGCGTTCCCAGAAATCATTCAACGCAAACAGCCATTCAGTCCCGCATCGCAAAGTACGCAGAGGCTTCCCAGAAATCATTCAACGCAAACAGCCATTCAGTCCCGCATCGCAAAGTACGCAGAGGCTTTCCTAAATCACGAAGTCCATGGAGGTTTTTCAAGAAACCATGGAAGGACACGTTGCAAAGTTGTTTGCGGGCTTTCCAAAAATCATTTAAGCCCACGTCTTAAAGCACATGGAGCCAGGAGGAAACGACGAATGACCCACGCCCTCGACTACACAACACGCGATTGTGGATATCTTCAGGAAAAATCAAACAGCACACCGACGCCGAACACTCTACATGACACGTCGTCATCTACACAAAACCCTTTCGTATAGTCCATATGTCACTTTCTTTTCGCCAGAGCAACGAAAAGAAATGCCCTACGTACCACGGTCATGTCGAACACCAGTGCAATTGAAACGCAACACAAACTGGAAAGTCGTACATTACACTAGAAACGAGCCCCACCTATAATACGAACATGCCGAACACAAGTTCCACAGAAGTCCCACAAAAAAACTGATCCAATCCGAAGACCTACACAAATGTCGATTCATGCCGAAGTCCTACATTAGACAAAAGCTCAACCAAGACGGACACGATGTTCGTCTGCCTACACAAGTCCCACACACAAGGTCATCCAAGCCTGACACGATGTCCAAAACATCACAGGGCCTGACCCATTGCGAAAGCCATGACCGAATTGAAGGAGCACGCAGGGAGAATTCCCTTCTCCACATTTGTTCCGTGCGCAAATTTTCCAATGCTCAATTTCTTGTCAAGAATCCCGGGGCGGATGCATCCGACTCATAATTTGGGAAGATGTCAAATTATAAGGCGATGCCCTGTCCCGTCGTCATCCCTTCCCTGTGAGACTTGGGGTCATCCGGAGGGGCATAGTTCGGATTCATCCGAGCCCGGTTCGCCGGAACCATTCTCACGATTCGCAAACTCCTCCCCCCCCCGACAACTCCCGCCACGCCCAGCGTTGACCTGACGGACAACAGTGATGGGTAACCGAGATGTCCTGCGAGCAGACCGTCCTATACTTTGAACGCGGGCGAGAATATGCAAGACAGTCGATAGTGTCACCCCTTCGTCGATCACCGTTCGGCACCATCCGAATTCAGGAGCATGGAGAACCGTGGGGAGAGGTCGCTGAGAACAATTCCTTGAGGGTTGATTTCCCAGGAATTTTCGCGCTGCGATATTTGGAAACTGCATATTTTGTTAAGAAGCGTGCTCGACATGCAGCCTGTTCGTGATTTAAACAAACGACGACGTGCCACCTCCGTTCGGCCACGTCTTCGGTTGTGGTTTGGATGCATCTGAATCACAGAAACAAGCGGAGCAGCAGGGAAGGATCACGAAGGTAAGAATTCCATTCTCCACGTCTGTTGCGCGATGCGATTTTTTGAAGTTTAATTTCATGTCAAGAAACGTGGTTCGGATGAATCCGGTTCATAATTTCGAAGATGTTAACTTGGAACGCGGTTCCCTGTGCCGTCATTATCCCTTCCCCGCGAGACTTCGCGTCACAGAGAGGGATGTGGTTTGGATTCATCCGAGCCCGGTTCGGATGGTTCATTCTCGTAATTTCCAAATGCGTTCCCGGCGAGACTTCCTGAGGCATCGAGCGATGTGATTCGGATTCACCCGAACTACATCAAACATCTCGGAGTGAGGCGGACCTGACACGTACTGTGTGATGATTGCATTCCCCCATCTGGAAGAACAAATAGCTGACAAAAGCCAGGAGTGTCGTCCCTACCTCCTATTCGGTTGTGGTCCGGATGAATCCGAACCCGAGAAGAAGATAACAGCAGAGGGGGGAGCTGAGATTTACGAAATCTAATATTGTCATTCACAAAGCCGTTGATTTGAAGTCGATGGCCCCCATGGAATTCTTGACGCGACCCCCTCCCCACGGCAGCCGGTCACCCTCCCGCTCCTGCAACACGCCCCCCGAGCCCCCTTCGGTGAGTACGGAAACCACGGCTCGGATTAATCAGAGTTGAAATGTGGTCGCCGGGTATAGATCTCTGATCAATCTGTGAATTGATTGATGACTTACTTCAACACAGATATGAACACGCCGTCGTCGTCGAACACCATGTCCACGCTAGTGTGTGGCATATTCGTTTTTTGTCGTTTGCGATGGGATGCTGCCCGGAAGGCGGCGCTATGACGACGTCGAGGTGCGTGATGGGTCTTCACTCTATGTTGCCACTGCGCGCGAGGTGTGTGACGGTCAGTGACGTGTGGGTTCGTCAGTGCTGGCTGTGTGTGCGACAAGGGACGATGAGTCTTGGCGGTGTGCGGTGGGTCTTCGCATTGGGGAAGTTCGACAAGTTGCATGTGATGGTTATAGCTGCATGTTTTGTGAGAGTTGTACATGCAGCGGTCTAATCACAGGCGTACGGGATAACGAGGGACAGCCGGCACAAGATCCGAGAGACGGCAAGACCCGCGATAGGCAGACTGGATCAGCAAGTCGTTCGGTGAGTTCCATGGCGCAACAACGACATCCTTACAACGTCGCCATTCCGGCAGCATATCATCGCCAAGGGGCAAGATCGAATGTTTCACGCCGCAACCACGACATCCTCGGAGCACAGCCATTCCCGCAGCATCCCATCGCGAAGGGGCAAGATGGAGGTCGTTGTCAGTGCTCCTTTCATATTGGATGACCACTGCCAGGCAATCAATCTTCTCCTTAGCTAAACCAAACGCGCACCGCCAAGATCAATCGTCCGTGTCGAACACTCAACCTGCAGAGAGGAAGCTAGCCGTCCCCGGGTGCCACTCACCATACTTGCATTCGCGATCTTTCTCGAAAACCCAATGCAATTCTTCGAGAAAGATCGCGACACGGGGGATTTATCTTGGCGGTGCGCGTTTGGTTTAGCTAAGGAGAAGATTGATTGCCTGGCAGCGGTCAGGATTGCAGATGAATTCATCGTGCGAGTTCAGCGCTCAGCGTTCCAATGACAAGCACGTAAGATGATGGGATCACCACAACGATGGCACAACATCCGAAAGACTTCAGGACAGGCAATGGGAAGACGAGATCAGGAAGTCGATTGGGACGCGATATCGAGGACGTCAAGAACAACGGCCATGTGACGTCGTCCACACGTCAGATGTGTTCGTCATGGGCGCCGAAAGATCTTGATCGCGAAAGCCGCAAGCTGATGCCATTTGCTGACGTCATGCAGAACATGATGACGTCAGCATATGTCAGTAGCTCGCGACTTTCGTGCTCTTAATCAGCAGACGCCCGTCCGCATGCCAATTAGTTTCGCCGTCGTCAAGATCGTGTGCCGATTGGCTCGTGCGCGAATGAAGAGGCAGAAGAGAAAGTGGACGGGCGACTGCATTCCGATCTCTTCAGGAAGATGGGGAAAGAGGAGCCGGAAATCAGGGAGGAAGAAAATGTGGACGGGCGATGCGAAGACGCAGGGGCTTGGAAGAGTTGAGGGGCCGAGCACAGGACGTAGGCCTATTACTGACCTGTGAGCCGATAAAATCCTCAAACGCACGTACAAAGAGCGAACGCGTTCACAAGCAAGGTGGCACGTTACGTGGCGTTTATGAAAGCGCCCCTGGTTGTCGACGATTGCACGGAACAATGACGCCCTGAAAGCTCTTGTGGCCTGCGATATGACGGTGGGCGTCATCTAACGATGGTGGATGAGTCGCTGCCGTAGAACTCGGAGCAAATGACACCAGCGAACGGGGTTGACAGCACCCCGGTCCGATTCATGCGGCCAACTGGCACGTTCGTCACAGGCCGCCGCAAGGTTCGTCCCGGCGGAGAGTCGCGTCGGGAGCTCTGTCGTCAGGTGGGCCCTTTACATAACCGTTGCGGGAGGGCGGGCCGTAATTGACAGGCCTGGTCAGTTGCAACCGCCCGATCGCGCTCGATCGACGGCTGCTATACACCAGCTGGCGGAAACTTTCCCGCCCACCCTTTTTCTTTTCTGGGGCCCACAAGGATGCATCCGCCTTTCGAATGACGCCACCGCCAATCGACAAATTCACGCCACTGCGTTGCAGCCGCAGGCACACGCAGGTCCCGTAGAGCATCCCGTCTCGAAATCCCGCTTTTCGGACCCGTTGCCGGAGGGCGGGCCATAATTTGGAGGCTTTGTACGAACCGCCCGATCGCACTATATCGACAGCTCCCATGAACCCGCTGTCGGAAATTTTCCTGCCCACCCTACTTTTCGGGGCCCACACGGATGCATCCGCCATTCGAATGACGCCGACGCCATCCCGCGAATTTGCACCACAACGCAGGCAATTGTAGGTACCCGCAACGCACACAATTGTAGGTGTCGCCAGCTAGTCTCGCGCCAGCACCGTCCGCCTTTGCTGTCGCCATAGCCATCACGTCGCCAGACATACCACTATCCATGTCCTGCTTGCCTTCGCCATATCCCTCGCGGTACCATCTCCCGTATCGCCATCTCCCGGGTCGCCATCTCCCGCGTCGCCATATCCCGCGTCGCCATCTCCCACGTCGTTGTCTCCCACGTGGCCATTTCCCGCGTCTCCACATCCCTCTTCTCGCCATATCCCTCGTCGCTATCCTCCGTGCTGTCGTTTAGTACGTCGCGACCCGCACCCTCATTTTCTGCGTCCCTACCAGCACCCACGTCGTCGACGCCGTCGTCATCCCGCAGCGCTTTTAATCCAATGACGAAAAAGGTGCTTTCTCTCTCTCTCTCTCTCTCTCTCTCTCTCTCTCTCTCTCTCTCTCTCTCTCTCTCTCTCTCTCTCTCTCTCTC